TAGGGAAAACATCAGACCCATATATAGCTTTCATTGACCTTACTAAGGTCTTTGTAAGAGGCTCATAAGTAGAGATCACCCTTGAATCAGCTGATGAGGGTGCAGCAGCTGTGGAAGTCAGGTGATTTAATGGCTCCTGGTTTTCCACTCCACTGACTTTGTCCTTTTTAATGAACTTGATGGTCTACTAATCAAACTAACCTTTCATAGGGCAATTTTGCTCCTTGATGGTGGCTTCTAGTCTCCAGAAAAGGGAGGATAGGGAGGAAAGGGAGGATAGTCTCCAGGAAAGCAGGAAAGGGAGGATAAGTCAACTGAAAATTAGTCTCTGTCCCTGCTCTACACAGATATAACTTTAGGAAACTTTTTTCTGGCCTTCATTTCATTATATTCTGGGTTGAGTTTTATAAGAAAATTATGGTATACTGCCAGTGGCTAATATCTTAAATATCCTTAACAAAGCTTCCTTGGTCTCTGCCTGAGGCGGGGGAGCTGCCGCAGACACCGCCAGCACTGTCGGCAGCAGGTGGGGGGGGGTTAGCGCCGACCAGGGGTCAGCGAGCACCTGCAGGCGCTGCCAGCAGAGTTGGCAGTGGCCAGTGGCAATCATGGACCACCTGCAGGTGCTCACCGGCGGTGTCAGCGGCAGGGTGGCAAGCAGCGACTGCCCGCAGGCACCACCGACAGTGTCGCATGCACACCCTATGCATCACCCCTGACCACCACCAGCCACTGGAACAGGAGTGTCCAGTCCCGGGTGCTCCGCTGGCACAGCCAGTGTGTCCAGGTGGCTCCAGCAGTGGGTGGTGGCAACCCTGAGGCAGCATCCCAGCAAGACACTGCAGCCTCTCCCCCATGTCCAGATGCTGACTCTGCAGAGACAAGAGACAGAAGTATTTTGAGAATTTGCAATAGTTCAGAGATGAGATGCTCTGCACCAGGGACCCTGCGCTGCCTGGTCTCTGATCACAGGGACCATGGTAAGCTGTTCAGGCAGAGCTGGGCCCAGGCAGCCACTGGCTGAGCCCCCCAGCCCTGCTTTCTCCCCTAGGGCTGGCAGCCCACTGGGTGCTGGCCTCAGGCAGCCTGCCTCCCCTTCCCCCCTTCCCAGGATGGGCAAAGCCAGGCAGCAACTGCTGCTGCAGCTCTCCCCTTCTTTCCCTGCAGGCCAGTCACTCTGTCACACTGCCATCCAGCCCACAGTGTCCAGACTCGGAGCACACGGGGCTCCCAAAAAACTGGGGTTAGGGACTGGACATGCCCCTTCCCTCCCATCAGGGGGCTTCTCTGGGGAGAAGGCCGCCCCCCGTGTGCTGCTACTGTGCCTGAAGCATGCCCCTGCTGTGCGTGCCCTGGGCGGTATGCAATAAGCTGTTTGTGTATGCAGAGGGGTTTCTCAACCACTGCACTCTGCTGCTGCTAATCCTGCTGGGCATACCTGCACTCCTGGTTTGGGACCCTGAGGTACAATGGCGTGGGAGGCAATGATGCAGTGATGCAGGTAGCAAGTTTATGCCCACTTACTTACTACACAGTAAGGCACATGTAGACACCTTACTGCGCAGTAACACTGTATGTGTGCTCTGACTTGGGAGTAACATTACTGCCAAGTTGGAGCACACACAGTGTTACTGTGCAGTAATGCCTACACATGTAGACGCTGGTCTAAAAGCCACTTACTGCACAGTAAATGCACGTGTAGCCATGCCCAGGATACATACATTACTTCATCAGCTGCTGTGGCTTCTCATTTAGCAATGAAATGAGTGCAGTTCCACAGTTTAAAGAAAGAAAGAGGAAAGGAATCCACTTGAAATATCAGGTGGGATAGAATCAGGCAGTAGAAGTGGGCCAGGGGATATTCAGCATAAGCATTCCGCAACTTGGTTTTAAAGTTCAATACAACATCCTACTTGCAACAGTACAGCTGACTAACAATACTTGGTTTAAAATTTTCCAAAATGTCCCACTAGGACTCCTACACTCATATACATTTTGACAGTTTTATCCTTAGCCTTTGCCTCAGCACCTTGCCTTTTTGGTCCCATAGATGATTTAGACTCAGCAAAGCATAAAATTGCATTCAATAACATTAAATATGAAAAAAGCTATTGTAAAGCCAGTGCCTTTTAATGTATTACTATGGGAAATAAATACGGCAGTTCTTCTGGTGTTATTCAAGATCGCATGTTATAATTTACTGTGTACACTGACAACAAAAATATTCACTTAAAACCAAAAAATAAAAAATGTCCTTAGAGTTCCACATGACAAACTTCTAGATGCATTTTACAAGCCCACGGATACAATTGGATATTCAGCTAACCCAGACATTACAGTCTACACCAAATCCAGGCTGTCATCTAGTGTTTATTTTTGTTAATAAATTCACCATAGCTGATAGTGCTGAGTAGCTTTCTGTCAGGCAATAATCTGCAAATTGAAAAAAATCTCAGAGGTGGGGAACCACAATGTTTAAAGCAGTATGTTTTCCCAGCATATTTTAATGTTTAGATCTCTGACACTTTCAGAAATCCCTCCATTTCAGACCTCTACAAAACAACTTTTAATACCTTCTGGTTTTTATTCCTGCCTTCTTGGCCATTAATTTGACACTAGAACCATTTTCCAGACCATTTAATAACACACATCTTCCTTTTCCTCTACTTTTTCTAATTTCAGGCTTATCAATGAATCTTTAAGGGACCAGTTACTAGTTACCATCCAGAAGACTTTTACCTATACTCGGACTCAGGCACAGCATCTCTTCATCATACTCATGGAATGCATGAAGAAGAAGGAGTTGGTATGTTAATAGTTTCTTAAGAATAAAGGGAAGTAAATGGTACTTTGTTGTCATGACTGAGATTTTCAAATGCCAGCCAAGGTATTTGGCTTTCCAGTTCCCATTAAAATTAATAGCAATTGAGTATCCAAATCGTCTTATCAGCTTTGAAAATATTCCCCATCCTTTATGTATTCCCCATCCTTTATGAATCCCTGGATTTTTGTATGTTTTCTATTGACATTTCATCTCACTTATACATCAACATAGGTGTGTCATGAAATGTATCAATTGGATCAATATCAAAGTGACTTTTCTGTGTTATGTTTTGCCAGATGTGTTATTAGTGTCTCATGTCCTCAATATGACCGACAAAATAATACAAGATAAGCTTGGCAATGCCTGCCTTTGCAGAATGCATCTTGATGTTATCGGCCTGCCATGCCATCTGCGTACACACGTGGACACATACACAGACAACTGTCATCCACGCTGATGAGAGTTCTGCTCCTAACATTTGTTACAGCACTGCAGAAGTGTCACTAAAGGGTATCATACAGGTTTCAGAACTTTTATTACAAGTGATATATGAGAGAAAAAGAATATGGTTTGATTCTGAGACTCTAGGTTGAAGTTGCAGAGCTGTCCCTTTGAAAAATATTCTTTTTACTGGTAAATTAAGCATTGAATACCAATTTGCCATTTGTACAACATCACTTTCCAGCACCACCTTAAAAAATTGTAGGTCTGAATTCTCATAGGCTTGATGTTTGACAGCCTAACTGAAATGAGATTCTGTTTAATTTTATTTTTTTTCGTGTAATCTTTCCTCTGAAATTGATTTTAGATTCATATCATCACAAATATATATGTGCCTGCAATCCGAGGTTGTTGACAACATGCAGTGTTTTATTTAGTGTAACAATTTTGAAGAGGAAGGGTACAGTCTAATTTTTTTCAATCATGTATTTTGTCATAGTGACTATCCATTTTCTCCAGCTTCATCTACCTGCTGAGCAACCTGATTTCCATTTGGAAGAGCCAGCAGAAGTAAAGGCCACCTTTGAATATCCCTTTAATAATAGCTAGCAACTGTGTTTTATATCTATAAGCATGGGTAGATCCAGAAGTTTAGAAAGGGGCATGTGGGGGCAGTCACCTGTGCTGCAGGAGTGGTTGCACCCCAGATCCCAACCTCTTCCCTGCCCCATTCCACCAACATCAGAGTAGGCAGACCACGCTACAGGAGCAGCAGACACGGGCTTTTTTTTATGTCCCTCAAGCAAATAAGAATCTTTCCTCCCCCACCCACTGCTGCCACTGCTGCTCTCCACAAATGACCCAGGGGAGGGGAGTGGGGGGCCACTCCTGCCCTATTGCTGCTAGACTGCACATAGAGCTACACACAGCAACAGCAATGCCAGTAGCAGGTGGGTTCCCCTCCCTCATGCCTGTTCCTGAGCTGGGCAGGGACGAGGGTTGTGTCTGCTGCTACTGCTGTCCCTGACTAAGACCAGCTTCCCACAAAGCCTAGCTGGAGTAGGCAGGAGTGACTCTGGAGCTTCCCCTGTCCCCACCCCTGCCCTACCTCCAGGCAGCTGGAGACAGCAGAAGCAGTGGGCCAGGGAGGGTTATGCTGCTAAGCATGGAGGGGAAGGGAGAGGGGATTCTTACTTCCTTTGGCGACTTATAAAAAGTCCTCAGCTGTTTCTCTAGAATTTAATTAGAGCCTTTGATATGGGACTCTCACAAAGCTTTTGGTAAAGCCCAAATAGACTATATTAACCAGATCACCCTGAGTTACATGCTTCTTGACACCCTTAAAAAACTCTGAATAGATTGGTGAGACTTAAATGCCTTTTACCAAAGTCAGGTTGACCCCTCCCCAACAGGTGCTGTTCATCCATGTAATGGACAATCGTTATTTTTAGTATGGTTTCAACAGATTTCTATTATATCAGGAACAGGAACAGAAGTTAGGTTCACCTTGTAGATGTCCCCTAGAATCCTTTTTAAAAGAATAATGTTACGTTGCCTGCCCTTCAGTCCTTTGGTATAAAAGTTGTTTTTAGTGATAGGTTACAATTTCAAGTTTGAGTTCCTTCAGGACTTTAAGTGATGACCACCCAGTCCTGACAATTTACCACTGTTAGTTTAATCATCTCCTCTATAACCTCCTTCATTGATGTGTCAATTTGGATTAGTTCTATTAATTTGTCTCCT